AAAATAGATAGTTGCTGGAGTTATACAATCTTGAGCAAAAACCTTCACAGTCTTTGTTGTCATTGAGTTTGCAGTCTAGTGGAGATACAGTCATAAATCAGTTATCAACATAAGTGCAAAGTTGTCATACTCAGGGCTATGAAGGAGCAGAACACAGTGCTCTGGAAACGTCATGAAAAGGAGATTTGACCTAGTTGGGGAGGCTGTGGCAGCCTTTCCTGATGCTGTGACCTAGGTCTGAGGGGTGTGTGGAAGTTACACAGGGCAAGAGCAAAGAAGGATGTACTTTAGAGAAGGGAGGAACAGTATGTGCCTGTGTGGAAAGGCCTCTGGTAGGGCTGAGTCATCCAGGCCTTTGAGGGAGTTTTCACTTTAAGTCTTTTAAACTAGAGGTGCAAAATCAGATTTGTGTTCTGAAAAGAAAACCCTGGGCTAGAGAAAACAAGAGGGGAAAGAAGGAAGTTAGTTCCTTTTTCTTTAAAAAGGCTTTTTTGGTAATATAAAAAAGAGTTCTTATTTTGAGATGAACAAATTTGGGTAATATTTAAATTCCTAGGTGATCCGTTCATCTAGTTCAGTGTTTCTCAAAAGGGTAGCTATTGACATTTCAGGCAGAACAGTTCATCCTTCCACAGGATTGTCCTGAGCTTTGCAGATGTTCAGCTTCTTTAGCCTAAGTGCCAAGAGCAACCCATCTCCAACTGCTCACTGAAACAAAGGTGCCTGCACTTGTTTTCAGCTGCTCTGTGGTAAGGTGGTTCAGCTACCGGTTGAGAATGAATTAAATTTCAAATCAATTTTTATAAATTTGTAAGTACTTTATATTCTGTTTCTTACCTGAAAACATCAGCTACTTAGCTCAAATTTGTTTGAGAAAATAAAAGGGGGTTTGCTAGCTCTGGTTTCTGAAAAACCAGACATGGAGGCTCAAATTGTATTTTTAGACATCTGGCTTTCTCTGTTTCTCTGTTCAGCTTACTTCTTTGTAGTTCTTATTCTCAGTCTTTCCCACGTGATGATGACAGCAACATTGGCCCTTCCAGCGCTAATCTTATGTTTAAAATAGTTTTATATCAAGATCAATAAATTATCAGTGCTTATATCACTTACTTCACCAACAAGATAAAAAAATAGCACATTTGCTTTCTTCTTATCTACTACCCTAGCATAATTTGGGGTACATATTTTAAAAATATTTTAGGTATGTTTTAAAAATTAACTTTTGTACATTATATCTATAATTTCTTAGATATTATTTACTAAGAAGTGTTATGGTTATCATAATTTTAGTAATTTATTTGCTTGTCACTTATCATAGACCCCAGATCTTCTTGTGCTTTTAAAATTTTATTTATTTATTTGTTTTTGTTTGATCACATTTCCTTTTCCAAACTAGTTTGAATACACAACATTTCTGAGTAGCAGTACACTTATGAAATATTTTTATTTTGTCTTTATGCTTGAATGCTAGTTTGACTTGGTAAGGAAATTTAGGTTTAAAGTAAGTTTTCCTCAAAAATTTGAAGACATAGGTTCACTGAATTTTAAACTTATTGTTGATATGAAGAATTGTCTTCCACTTATAAGTAAACCTCTGTGTGTGTGTGTGTGTGTGTGTGTGTGTGTGTAGTGGAGTAGGGGTTGCTTTTATTATGACCTTGTGATGCTTGGAGTTCATATATATGACCAAAATATGTCTTAGTATTTTTAACACCTTTTCAGCATTTAAGGGTCTTTTCAAAGTGAAAGCTTAATATTTGGGAAGAGTGAAAATGTAAACATATTTTTAGAGTCATTCATCTTAAAATAGAAGCTTTATTACTCCCTGTAATTGTTCTTCAGTTGATTTTCTTTATCTTTCAACAATGCAACAACACTATATTCAAACAATGAAAACTTTTATTCCTTTAAATATGTATATCACTAGCTTTTTTCTTGCCTAATTGCATGTTGATAATTATGATACCATATCTTATCTTGTTCTTAATTTTAATGTCTTAATGTTAATGAAATGATTCTGACGTTTTACCATTTGGTATGATATGAACTGTTGTTTTGAGGAAAATATTATTAGGTTTTATATAATTTAATTTTATCAAAGTTTTTATCATGAATGATTGCTGAATTGTGTCACATGCTTTTTGGCAACCGTGAGGATAATCATACAGATTTTTCTTATTTGTCTTATTGCTATTATGACTTACAGTAGTAGACCTGATTATACTGAGCAGTTCTGAATAAAGTATATTTTAATATTGTAATATCTGTTTACTTATTGCTAAATTTGATTTGGTAATATTTTTATTTGTATTTTTCTGTTTTTATTAAGGTAAATTGGTCTATGATTTTCTTTTCTTTTTTTTTGAGTTGGAGTCTCACTCTGTTGCCTAGACTGGAGTGCAGTGGCCACTCCTGGCCATCGCAGCCTCTACCTGCTGGGCTCCGGTGGTCCTTCCGCCTCAGCCTTACAAGTAACCGGAATTACGGGGGCGCGCTACCATGCCCAGCTAATTTTTTGATTTATTGTAGAGATGAGGTCTCACCCAGTTGCCCAGGCGGGTCTCAAACCCGCGGGCTCAGGCAATCCACTCACCTCATCTTCCCAAGGCGCGGGATTATAGGCTGAGCCACCGAGCCCGGCCTATGATTTTCTTTTTAAAGTTTGTCAATTTCACTATCAGTGACATAGCAGGAATTGTAAAAATAACTAGAAAGTTTTACTCTTTCTGAATTGAGAACAGTTTAAATTGAATGAGAATTTACTTGTTGAAATTTTTAAAATACTTCTTATTTAAAGTCATTCGGGCCTGCTGCCCTTTATGGGATACTTTTTGACAATTTTTGAATTGTCTTTGTGATTCTGGTTTGACTCATATTTTTCAACCCTTTCAGGCTCATTTCACTTTCTAGAAAGTTGTCATTTCATCCAGATTTTAACAATTTAACAATATACCAAGCAATTTAACAATATGCCAAAATAGTTATTAAGCAATTAACATTATCCTAGAACTACAGATACAAATTTCATTGACTATAATTTAACCTTGAGTAATGCAAGATCATCCTTATTACTTAATAATGCAAAAATCTCAGAGTTTGTGAAATCGATAGTGAGGCCTCTGCATTTTGTCACCAACCCCAGTCCTGTCGCTCTTTCTCTACCTTTGTGCCATTCATCCTTCCTCCAATATTTATTGAAAATTTGGGGTTATAGTGAAGTTTTATGCTTCGTGGGCCATAGTCTCTTGCAACTATTCAACTCTACTGTTGTAGTAGCCATAAATAATACAGAAATGAATGAACATGACTATGTTCCAATAAAATTTTATTTACAGAAACAGGCAATAGGCAGTGGGCTGGGTTTGGCCCATGGACTATATAGTTGGCTGACCCCTACCCTAAACCTTGTTCTAGGCATGTGGAATATTATAGGGAAAAAGAAACCGTTTCTGCCGTCATATAACTCACAGGCTGATGGAGGTGAGAAATAACCCAAAAGTTCTGATATTCGTAATACTCTGTATAGTTAGTTCCTGCCTAGTAGGCACAGCTGGTATTTGTTGAGTGAATGAACACAGTTCTGTAGTAGCAGTGAGCACAAACATGTGGTAGAAGGATAAAGATGGGTACCTGACTTACTCAGATTTATTTTTATTCAACCTGTTAGTTTTGCACAAGATTTTATATCTTCCTCTGGCCGCATGGTTCCTCTTGCATAGACTTCATGATGGCTGTTTTCTCTGAGAATTCTTTTTTTCTGAAGAGTAATTTTGTGGCTATGATCTTTGTAGTTGAAATCGCCAGAATTCTCAGTATAGGTCAATACAGTATTATGACATAACTATAGACCCAATCCACTAAGGACAGTGGGATGTGTTAGGCATTGAAGAAATATTTGTTGAAGTAAATGAATAAAACAAATTATGATTAAATGAATACTGAGCTTTCCATTTGGAAATGGAAAAGCATTTTTGTTATAAAAGCATGGGCCATGGAGACAATTAGTATGAGTTCCAATACTAGACCCACCGCTTACTAGGCACGTAATAGTGGGACAAATTGAGTCGCCTCTCAGGGTCTCTATTTCCTAATATGTAAATGGAGATAAAATTTTTCTCTGAATTAATATTTTCATTGTAAGGATTAAGTAAATCAATGTACATAAAGTACGTAAATATGTCTGGCACATAGTAAACAATAATTATTATGTTGTTAATAGTATATTGAATAAGATTCAGCTAATGCAAAATTTTTTTTTTTTTTTTTTTGAGTTGGAGTCTCACTCTGTCACCCACCTCGACCTGCTGGGCTCTGGCGATCCTTCCGCCTCAGCCTTCCAAGTAGCCGGAATTACAGGCATGCGCTACCACGCCCGGCTGATTTTTTGATTTATTGTAGAGATGAGGTCTCGCTGCCCAGGCGGGTCTTGAACCCGTGGGCTCAGGCAATCCACTCACCTCAGCCTCCCAAAGGCGCGGGATTACAGGCTGAGCCACCGAGCCCGGCTAGCTAATGCAAATATTAAAGCTGAATGTCCCTTTAGAGGTTACAATTCATATTTTTTACAACTGCTGTGTCATAGACACCAACCGGTCAGAATGAGTCCTAGCCTTAGTGTTGACAGAGGCTCAGACCACAGCACCTGGGGGAACCTGAGAGGTTTTGAAGAGTGGCTTGGGTAGCAGAAGGGCTCTTGGAAAGTTAGGCCAGTAGCTGCTTACCAACAGATATGGCAGTGTTTTAGTATTTCAACATCCAGCACAACAGTGTGGATGCATATCAGCTGTTCATTCTTGGTAGTATCTGCTAGTATTAGCATGTATCAGTGACTCTTATATATATGTTTTATACTTATATACTTACATAGTTACTCATAATGCTACTTCCCACCCAGTTAGAATATAGAACAGCTGAAATTAATATTTACTTCATGATAAAATTTACCTGTAAATTCTTCAAGTTTCTCATTGGCTTACCCTCGCTTTGTCATTTGTCTTTAGATATATGCAAAAAACCTGGTGAATGCCGACCGTTGTGCACTTTTCCAGGTAGACCATAAGAACAAGGAGTTATATTCAGACCTTTTTGATATTGGAGAGGAGAAAGAAGGAAAACCTGTCTTCAAGAAGACCAAAGAAATAAGGTACAGCTAGAAGTAGAATGTCCTATGGTCTGATTACAGATGTGCAGGCGTTCTGTTACCCATTTTTCTGTGCCTATTCACAGGTATGCTGACAATACTTGTCATACTGTGATATCATTCCCACCAGGACCCGCCTCCTGAAGGTAGTACTTCTGGGAATGACATTGCAGTGCCAGCGAAACCGCGCCTAGGAAGCTTTAGCGTCACTCCTGGAAATGCCGTCTTCCGGAGGCGGTCCTTCTGGAAATCATGCTGGAAAAGCTTACTAGTGCTCCCAGGTGGGTAAAGGGGCGCTCCACCTGGAGTCTGCAGGTCTTCCCATGTCCAGGAGCTATTTGGGCCTACCTCTTCCCAACCTGTGGGGCTGTCTCACAGACCAGACAAGAGTAAAAACTGATCTGGTATATCTGGTGACCTGAACACGTTCTGTAGCTGACCAGTTGGCTTAATGAATCATATAGCACACTTTTGTTGCCTCTCGAAACTAAAGCCTCCTCTGTTCTTTAAGTGGCAGCTGTTGTCACAAATGAACAGAAAGGAGCTGGTTTTGTTGATGGAGGCATGGGGGCTCATTCTTAACACCATCTGGAACTGGCAAGGAGCACTCATAAAACCTATAAGAATCAAACTTAACATTCTGAAGTTGAACTTTTTAATAGACATTTCTGTTCTTTTTCACTTTATGTGTCTTGTTGGACTACTTTTCTCCATGATACTATAAAGTTCTCTGATAATCACAGCATTCTAGTAAACACTGTGCTGTTAAATAAGGATTGCTACTTATTTGGGAAGTTTGTCATAAAAGGAAACTGATGTCAGGGAAACTCCAAGTGTGGTCCACCACGGGCCTTACCACTATCTGCCACTGGGCACTTCCAGTACATTCTATACTCCATGTAACTCTGACTTATAGGCACAGTATTGGTGTTTGGGTTTTCAAAAAATGTGTTTATTGTTTGCTTCTTGGCTTTGTATTATTTTAAATGTGTTTTTTATTTTGAATTCAGGGGGCACATCTCTATATTCCTTATAAGGGTATATCGTGTGATAGTGTGGTCTGGGCTTCTATTGAACCCATCACCTACATGATGAACACGGTACCCAATGAATGGTTCTTTAGCACTTGCCTCTCTCTTGTCTTCCCTTTTTAAGAGTCCCCAGTGTTGTTCTCACATTTATGCCTGTGTGTACCCAGTGTTTAGCTCTCCCTTAAAAGTGAGGATGGTCAGATTTGGTTGTCTGCTTTTGGGTTAATTTGTTTAGAATAATGGCATTCATGTCATACAAAAGACATAATTTTGTTCTTGTTTATGACTGTATAGTATTCTATAGTATATGTACCACATGTTCTTTACCTAATCCACTGTTGATGACCATCCAGGTTGGTTCCATGTATTTGCTATTATGAATAGTGCTGCAGTGAACATGAGTAGATCTCAGGATATCAGACTGAACATAGGCACTTAGATACATCATTTCTCTTGCTGAATATTTAAGTCTTCCCTAACAGTTCTAGTATTGATTTATTTTTGAAAATAATAACTTAAAGGTTGTATTTACAAGCCTAGGTAAAACAATGGAATGTGGTTTACTTCTGCTCTCAGATGACTGATTGATGCCAGTCATTTACATAAGGGCTGCTTCTTTAATTATGGACTTCCGCTGACCATAGATAATGAACTACAGAAAGTGTGAATAAAAGTTACAGTTTAGACTATTCTCAGACCATGGGAAACAAGCATAAATCATGAAATGGATTTAGATACTCTTTGCTGATGGTATTTGTTGTGTTCATGGTGTTAAAAGCATAAGAAAACCAGGAAGAAGACAGCCTTGAGTTTTATGCAATGTTTGCTTTGCTTTTTAGTATTTTAAGTAAATTATTTTTTGTGTGAATTCTATTTTGAGTTTTTCTGATAATTTTTAAAATGAGGCTTTATTTCTATAAGGATTATTTCCTATAAGATTGAAATGTAATGTTATAGAAGATATTTCTGAACTATTGAAAATAATAGTTATTGTAAATTATAGACAACTTTCTTATTAACTAAATTTTGAAATGAATGCATGTATGATAATATAATAGTGTGAAAAATATTGATAAATATAAGAATATATTTACAAAAGAAAAATACTGATGTTAGGTATCAAAAATAGATAATGCTTGTATAGTACTTGATGTCTAACAAATTTTCAATCTCAATTTGTGATAGAATATAATGTAATAATATATTGTGAATTACATCTTAAGGTTCTCGAGAGATTACTAAGTAATTTTTTTCTGCTTCACTTTTACATATTTTCTAAGATGTTTTTGAATATATAAATGTAAAATTAATACATGAATTTAAAATGAAACAATGGTTTTTTTAATTTAATATTTGGTAGTAATGAAATGTTTTATAATTATTTTACAGCATCTGTATTTTAATTATCATGTTCCCTCTCTTTTTTTATGTGCAGATTTTCAATTGAAAAAGGAATCGCAGGTCAAGTAGCAAGAACAGGGGAAGTCCTGAACATTCCAGATGCCTATGCAGATCCACGCTTTAACAGGTAAGAAAGAGTTATGTCCTCTCCTCCATCATGTCTTCTTTAATGACCCACTCAGCTGAAACCTCTTCTTTGGAGTCCTTATTCTCCAAGTCCCAATGCAATTAGTTCTTTGCTTTTAGTTTTCTGCTTAGAACCAGCCCTATTATCAACAGTTCATATTTTCAGATACTTATAAAATGATTGATTCTAAGTCATTGATATATAATGATATTCAGCTATAGTTTAAAATGTTATAAAAACACCAATAGGCAGGAGTTTTAATTTCCAGAACTGTTGTGTTTTTTTCATTATAGTGTGATTGTGTCATGAGCATATTTTCTCTATCAAATCATATACTCAGAGGCTGCAACACATAGTTCTACAATTACATACTTTTGAGCTTGACAAATCTAGTTTCAAATCATGGTTTTATCATTTATTACCTCTCTCTAGTGACCTAGAATAAGTCACTTATATCTCTGAGCCTTAGTTTCTTCATCCTTAAAATGGGTATAATGATGCCTATTTTATAGTTTTATGTGTTTTTTTTATAAGATTACAGATGGTAATCATAAAAGGTGTGAAAACTTTACCTGACACAAAGTAGGAACTCAATAAGTTGCAGGTTTTATTGAATATTATTAAAGTTGAATATTAGGATGGCACTTAAGATTTTTTTGGTTTGACTTTCTTTGAAGAAATAGAAACAAAATTATATAATCTAAGTTTTAATAAATCTTTACAAATTGGAAGTCTCAAGGCTGATGTCATTATTGTTAGGGAATGATATTTTAAGTATTTTGACAACAATGTTTAGTTAATTTAAACATTTGTTTTATGTTGAGACAAAAAAATTAAGCAATAAGAAATTTTCATGTATTTGATTGATTAATGTCAAATACATACAACTCATATGTAAACATAGCTGTATTCTAGTAGTATATTTTATTTTAAAAGGGTATACTGAAAATCTTATTTTTTTAAAAGATCAAACTTGTCATTTCAGTGCTTAAATATTTAAATATTAAAAATTTTATATAAGACTTATAGGTCAGACTATTAACAAAATGAGAAGGCAAGCAGCGGATTGGGAAAAAATATTTGTAAATCATATATTTGACAAAATACTTGTATCTAAAATATATTTTAAAAACTCTTCCAATATAATACTAAGAAGATAACTCAATCTAATAAAAAGGGCAAAAGATTTTTAACGGACACCTCACAAAAGAAGGTATACAGCTGACTATTAAACACATGAAACGATGTTTGAAATGAGGGGCATGTAAGTTTAATTGACAGTGAGATCTCAGTACACACTAACTTGATTGGCTGCAACTTTAAAAGACTGGCGTTAGCAAGGATTGGCATAGCTATCGAGAAACTGGCAGCCTCATATTGACTGGTGGGAATGTGTAGCTGTATGACCACTTAGGAAAACGGTCTTTGAAAGTTCACCACACATTTACTGTAAGGGTCATCAGCTGTCTCTACTTCTAGATATTACTTCAAGAAAAATTAAAACATATGACCACACAAGACTTGTATGCAAATCTGCAAAGCAGTATCATAATTGCCAACAAAGAGCTATTAACAAATAATATTGTCCATCAACTGGTAAATGAATAAATAACATATGAGTCATTCATTCAGTAGAGATACTATTCAGGAATAAAAAGGATGTAACAACTGATACATGCAACAATGTGAATGAGTCTCCAAAACATTTGCTAACTGAGAGAAACCAGGCCCTGAGAACTAGCATAAACTAACTGCCATTAGTTATGTCGCTGTTTCTTTGGAACTTAGTCCTAATTTCAAAAAGCATTTCCTCAAATTAGGAGTCCACAAGCCTTTTCTATTAAGGACCAGATGCTAAGTATTTTTGGCTTGATGGGCCATGAAGTCCTCATCACAAGTCCTAAGCTCTGCCTTGTAGGCTGATAGCAGACCCAGTCTCTTTTTTTTTTTTTTTGAGTTGGAGTCTCACTCTGTCGCCCAGACTGGAGTGCAGTGGCCGCTCCCGGCCACCGCAGCCTCGACCTGCTGGTCTCCGGCGATCCTTCTGCCTCAGCCTTCCGAGTAGCTGGAATTACAGGCGTGCGCTACCATGCCCGGCTGATTTTTTGATTTATTGTAGCAATGAGGTCTCTCCAAGTTGCCCAGGCAGGTCTCGAACCTGCGGGCTCAGGCAATCCACTCACCTCAGCCTCCCAAAGTGCTGGGATTACAGGCTGAGCCACCAAGCCCGGCAGCAGACCCAGCTCTAAATGCATGGCATGGCTGGCTGTGTTACACTAAAACTTTATATACAGACCAGGAGAGGACTGGCTTGGCCCATGGGGTATAGTTTGCTGCCCTGCTCCACATCTGTTAGATGGTAACTCCCACATAAATTAGTTAGTAAGTTATATCTCTCATAATTATGACCAACTTCAAAGGACTATGTCATTTTCCCAAATTTATTGTGTTTCTCCTCTGAATCCTCATTGCCTGATACTTGGTAATACCTGATGCCTAAAACCCAATGATGAGCCACAGTCTCCTAGAGATGGTCCTAGGGGCTCTCTTGTAAACAGAACATCTGGTTAGAATATTTTTTGAAAAGGTTTTACTAAAACATTTTTAGAATGTTACCATCCCTGAATTTAGAAGCTAACAGTGCCATTACCATTATATGTAATAGAAGCGAGTACATTGTAAACCCGTGGTAAGACTCCTGGTTGAATGTGGTATCTATTTTCCTCTGTCTGTTTTCTCTTTTTGGTTATCATTTGGTTCTCTCATACTCCCACAGAGAAGTAGACTTGTACACAGGCTACACCACCCGGAATATCCTGTGCATGCCCATCGTGAGCCGGGGGAGTGTGATAGGCGTGGTGCAGATGGTGAACAAAATAAGCGGCAGTGCCTTCTCTAAAACAGATGAAAACAACTTCAAAATGTTTGCCGTCTTCTGTGCTTTAGCTTTACACTGTGCTAATGTAAGTGCTGTGTTTTAAATACTCTTTTTTTACTACTCATTATTAATTTAACACCTTTTAAATATAATAGCTTAAGGGTTTTTTCCATTTATATTTCCTTTAAAAACAGTGATTCCTGGTTGAACATAGTTTAGAAAATAATGTAACATGCCTTAGAAGAAAAAGACAATCACTCTCCTAATATTTTGCATTTATTTCAAGGTGTGAATTTGCTAAAAAGAAAAATGAAGTTAACATAAAGATAAAATATTCAAGTATCAGGCTTATATTTTATATCTGCTGAAATGAATAAGAAAATTATTATCTAAACCCTTACTGTTTGTGCATTTGTGATTCTTACACAAAAGGATAGTAATAGCTCATGTTTTCACACCAACCAGGAAAGTTCTATCTGTCAAGAGAAGTGAGGCTGCATGTGGTACATGTCAGACCCATTATCACATTATAGGTGTTAGCTCATTTAACTTCATGGCAGTCTTGCCCTGTTCATGGAGGAAAAAAATGAGGGTCATTTTTTATTCTGAAGTCTCGCTTTTAAATAGTAGAATTTATTTCTTTTCTTTTACATTGTTATATTTTAAATGAGTTCAACACTGATTATTCTGTAAACTCGAGTAATTCTTTAATGACATTCTAGAATTCTGAAGTTAGGGGAAATTTTTGTACAATAACATTTGTGTAAAGCTAAACCAACATAAGTGGCAGTTACCACCTGCTTGTTTAGAGGAATTGCTTTTTGAGAGTTAGGAGTGAATTCCAGAGGAACAACCATATGATTGAAAGGAACAGCTGAGAGATAATAGGAACAAAAATGACAGCAAATTATATTCTGGTGGCTAAGGGTAACCATTTGTAATGCAATTAGTGCGGTTTAGTGAGGGTTCCATCCTCTCTCCTCACACATCCACAGAGCCTCTGCTGGGACAGAGATTCTTACTTAGCCAATCAGAAGTGAACAGCACAGCTGTCAAACATTTTTGCTTCCATTATTTTCAGTATCGTATATCTCTCATAAATTAAGATATTGATAACTTGTGCTCAGCTTATTTAGTCTAAAAATCACCAAGAATGAAGTTTCTAGTGTATTCTGAATATTGACTTTCATCATCTTCAAATGGATCCAGTGGAATCCAAGTACTGTACCAACTTGATACCTACTATAGTCCATTAAAAAGTACAATAACAAATCTTAGGATGGGAAAATTTTCTGTTTTTTTCCTGCTCAGAACATGTATTTATGTTATCTAACAAAATTTTATTCTAATATATGTTTTATGCTTTAAACTATTTTACTATTTACCTTAAAGTAATATACTAAAATAAATATCTAGTAAGTATTAAAAATTAATCTTGGATGTGATGGTATTATATGTTATCAGCAGATATGTGATCAAGACAACATAACTATTATAAAATTTTGATAAATATCAAAAACAAAAAGCAAAAATGTTATTGAAAATTATTTTTTAATGCAGTGGCTGTGGCTTAAAATAATAATTGCTAATATACTTGTTCATGAATTTTACTTACTGTTAGAATTAAACCAGGCTTAATTAAACGAAAATAAAACAAGGTTTAAAATTTTAGTGTAGTTTGTTACACTTTTTATTTTGAAATAGTTTCAGACAAAAAGCAAAGTTGCAAAAATAATACAAAAATTTCCTTATAGATTTATCCATATTTCCCAGATGTTCATATATTTACCATTTTTGCTTTGAAAGCATATCAAAGCAAAAATGGTAAATATATGCTTTCTCTCTTTCTAACATAGATGTTATTTTGCTCTGATCTATATGAGTGTATGCTTCAGACATAACATCTCATAACCAAATGGTTTCATTTATATTTTCCAAAAACAAGTACATTATCTTATTTTTCCTCTGCATAATTTATAAATCAAGACATCAGGCTGCACTTGGCTTGCTGTGGCACCTCTGTTTTTCAGCTCTTTCCACACTCATGTATCAGTTTGCTAGGGCTGTTGTAATGAACACCACAGACTGGTGGAGTAGACAATAGAAAGTTGTTTTCTCACAGTTCAGGAGGCTGGAAGTCCAGGACCAAGATATCTGCAGGTTGCTTTCTCCTGAGACCTCTCTCTTTGGCTTACAGAACGCCACCTTCTTGCTGTGACCTCACATGGTTTTTCCTGTGTGCGTGTGCATGTCTGTGCCCTAATCTTTTTTTTTTTTTTTTAAGAAAGACACTAGTCATATTGGATGAGGACCCATGCATTATACGAAATTATACGGTTATAATTTCAACATGAGTTCACAGAATGATCTGTCCTTGGTGCAGCCTGTTAGCAGGCACATGTGATTTTCATCACTGGTGATGTTAACTTTCTTCACTTTGAAGATGGTATTTGCAAGTTTCTCCACTGAAAACTTTTTCTCCACTGATTTCTTTAGAAGACAGTTTATACATAAACTTCTATATATATGCTTTCTCCCTCTCTGTCTGTCTGTCTCTCTCTCTTCTCTTTTCTCCCTACCTCCTTCTCTCTCTCATTCTCTCTCTCTCTCTCTCTCTTGCTCTCTCGCTCTCGCTCTCTCTCGCTCTCTCTCTCTCACCGGTGTCTATTGATACCTTCAGTCTAATACTACAGAATGCCTTCTAGCCATCTCATTTCCATCTTCAGAACTTTTTTTATGGGAGCAGAAAAAGTTTTATTATTGTAACTTCTCTGAATTCCACCTGAGCTAAGATGCCCAAAGTACTGGTTCGGTCATCAAAAGTTATTTTTAATGTTCTATTAGTTGAATACTGATGTAGGTTCACCTTCAGTATTTTATGAAAGCTTATTAACACCAGTGTTTTATATTGTCCCTTTGCTTGAAGAGGTATTTATGGTACAGCAATTTGAGAACAGGGCTATTTTGAAATGTGACATAAGAACAAGTCATTTTTAGGTAAGAGTATGTGTTCAGGTTAAGAGTATGGAAATTGATCATCTCAAAATCTATTCATTTGTCCTTGATCTCCCTTGAAATATATTTGTGTCCCTCCAAGAATACATGAATGTCAGATTAAATATAACTGAGTTATTTGAGGAACAAGAACAGTGGGTTCAAATGTTTTTCCAGTCTACGAATTTTTGTATCATAAAACCTGGATTCAATCATAATTAAAACCAAAACAGAAAAAAAATAACTCTTCTGAGAAGTGAATAAATTAACAGACATTTTATTTTTACATTGATTATGTGAATTACTTATGTAAAATTTTAGTATAATTACTGGCATTGGTTTGTATTGGAAGTGACTGTAAACTCTTCTAAACCCTCTGGACCTCACCACATGATTGCAGTTCTCCAGTAGTGACAGGTACTGTTTACACCAGCAACTGGGAACATAGTGTCCGTCGCCTGGTTCAATAGGGTCAGGGCTGGTTGCCTTTAAGGTGTATATGAGAAATATAAGTTCCATTTTTTTACTGCAATATAGTTTTTTCCTCACTGAAGCTTATACAAATGATATTATTTGTGAAGGTTTTTGCAACTCAGAAAGAACAAGCGACGTCTGAGTCTGCAGCTTCAGGGTGACTCCTGTTCTTCACTGCCCCCTCCTGGCCTTCTGGTCTGATGGAGACATGTGGTCGGGTTTCTTTCAAAACTTTGTTCCAGTTCAAAAAGAAGACTGGGTCATATATCTTCTTAAATTTATATATATATATACATGTATTTGCCTTGTTGAAGCAAATGTTCATCTAAAAAAATTAACCAAAAAACAGTAAACAAAAAAATGGCTCCCAATTTAGGCTAATTTCATGAAGGTAGCAACTAGTTTCTTTACAGTAGCTCCTTGGAGCCTTCCTCACTTGAGAGGCTGGTATCATAAATGGCTGAAGTAGGAGACCTGAATGGTTGCTCTTCACCGCACTGGCACTGACATGCTTTTTAAAGAGCAAGTTTGCTTTGCTGTCTTGAGCATTTTGTTCCCAAGCGTCAAATGAAGATCAGGAAAAGCACCTTGTAATTCGCACTGTCCCAAGCACTTAATCAAACCTCTGGGCTCCTGTCTTTCCTGGAATGTTCTGTTGCCTTCTATAGAACATACATTAGTATTTATTAAGATCATATATATAAAAAAAATGTTGTGCAGTATGAAGTGCCTTTTGGTTGTTGACTATTATTAAGTCATATAAATGTGTGGATCCTGGGAAATTCAAAATATTTTTGCTCTTGAGAAAATTATTATATTCCTAACAGTAGCATGTTTTCTACATGAAAATTGCTTCCAATACTGAATATGAGAATGTAATGACATATTTTATTGTGGTTTTGATTGATTAAGAGAACTATCTAAGAGGCAGGGCACATGGGCCATGTAAACACTCCTTATGTCTTTATTTTTCTTCATTTCATCTGTAGATATATTTGATTATATTCCTCTTTTTTTTTTTTTTTTTTTTGAGTTGGAGTCTTACTCTGTCACCCAGACAGGAGTGCAGTGGCCGCTCCCGGCCACCGCAGCCTTGACCTGCTGGGCTCCGGCAATCCTTCCACCTCAGCCTTCTGAGTAGCTGGAATTACAGGCATGCGCTACCACGCCCGGCTGATGTTTTTTTATTCATTGTAGAGATGAGGTCTCACCACGTTGCCCAGGCGGGTCTTGAACCCGCGGGCTCAGGAAATCCACTCACCTTGGCCTCCCAAAGTGCTGGGATTACAGGCTGAGCCACTGAGCCCGGCGATTATATTCCTCTTAATGAAAGAAAAGGGCACGTCTCTGATTGGCAGCATCTCAATTTCACTGAGCTAACAGATAGTTGGAAGTACTATCAACAGAGAGATAACCATTTAAAAATATGCCGCAAGGAAACTAACAGGATAGTACTATCGGTTACATCTTTTGTCTACAAAAAGGAGTCTTAACTTTATAAATTTTGGATAGAAAAAATATTTAACATTAAAGGAGTTTGGAGAAAATCACTATTGAAATGAAGCCAGTTGACTAGGAACAGTATAATAAATAGATGGTTTAATCTTTGTTCATTTT